GTTCTAAGCTATTTAAAGTAAGGATTTAAAACAAATCATAGAGGTCGTCTGTGTTTTTTGATGTTCTGTGGCAAAATGTGATGTTATAAAATCGAAAGCTCAAAGAAAGAACGATATGCCTTAACTATGCCCCTTCTCTCTTATTGCTTATTCTGCAACTCTGCTCACAATACATGGCTATGGACACAATTCAGAGCTATCGCATTGGCCCCATTTGCCTTATTTTTGTTCAATGTGATCTTTTAAGGAAACCACATGAGGTAATACACAATCTAATGATAATCATTACAACTGGTAAAATGGTTTAACATCAGGAGGACCTATCAAAGTGTGGTTTACGGGATATATTGTAAAATGCAGTTACTAATTTTTAGCCAAAACATAGTAAAAACTGTGCACTTTTAATACTGTAATTCAGAAACATAAGGAAGCAAAGGGAAACTTCTTCAAGAGGAGGAGGCAAAGGGAAATGGTTGAGATGACATCTCAAAGCACCTCCCATGTAAAATGCAGTGACTATTTTTGAGGTGAAATGCAGTAACATATACTATGTAAATACTGATGTGCTTCACCAACTTATAAGCAAGTGCTGCATTTTTTTACACTCCTTACACTTTTTCACATAGCCTCCTTCACGTTTGAAAATACTTCACAGTAGTTTTAAAGTGCAGTAAAATACATTGTTGGCCAGGGCACCAAGAGAAACTCTCTTCTCTTTTGTGCCATGGCATCTACCTGCACAGGCCGACAAGACCTTAGTTTCACTTCACATTTGATAGGCTGCATCTCGAACAATACAGAGCTTCCCCAACACTGCATTGGAGTGTCAAGAGTTGTTGATGGCTGACGTGGGGCTTGACACACAGCCATCTGAGCCAGAGTCAACGGAATCAGGCTGAAACTCAACTCTTTGAGTAGAAGGCTTCCATGTATTTCATAAATCCTGGTGTATCATCAGCTTTGGAAAAATATATGCAAACCCTCTGTGAGCTGTTTTTTGTGCAATTGGCACTGTTTTACTCTCTCAGGATGTGGGAGGATAGCAAATGAGCAAATGGGAAGGTTAGGAGAAATTTGTTCGCGGATAGAATTGTTAGGATATGGAATCCACTGCTGGGAGGAGTGGTTGAGGTTGAAGGGTGGGGTCTTTCCCGACTTCCTCTTGCAGGATCCACATGAGCTTTCAAAAGTCAAAAGGAAACAAGGTAGATAACTTAAAAAGGAGTAAAATGCATGGGGAAGGTAGGTACATGGGAGTGAAAGGATTACTCATTAAAAAAGCCAGCACAGCCACAATGAGCCGAACGGTCTTTTCCTGTGCTGTAAATGTCCATGGTTCTATTGTTTCCAAGTTAAAGATCCTGTGGCACTTTCAGAATAGAGAAGAGAGTTTCTCAATGTTATGGGACAGTTGTAAAATAACGACCACAAGGTTGAAGTTGTAGGTTGGAGTCTTTTCAGCTTCCTCTTGCATCTGCAGCTTTGCTGTTTGTATTAGGAGAGAGGGGAGTGAGCAGGTTTTACTTCTGCATAATATCATTTAATAATATGCTCCAATAAAGCTTCCTGATCCATTTTCAGTAAAAGTGTCTTCAATTAAGAGGAACTCTGTTGTGTTTCTGCTAGGCCTTTATGGCTGTGTGAATCTGGTTTGTCACTAAGCAGCTGAGCAGTGTATGCAGGTGTTTGAGGAGTGATAATGCCACTGCCTTACTGACACCTCTCGAAGATGATTTGATTCACTTTAAGTTTTTAACACTGGATCGTTTGAGTTTGTAGCGAACATAATTACCAATCGGTGACCTGAGATACCATCATGTACCTTCAGCAATGGCTGGTATGTAATTCGGGCCTTACTGCACATTCAGGGAAGCTTCAGCTTTTATTTTGACTGGACCGTAGAAGGGAGAAATTCTCTCTAGTCTTATCCTGTAAAACCCTCCCTTCTCAATGTCTTTAAATTCTGCCTTAACCTCCCATTCCCCCTCTTCCGCTCTCCCTCATTCGGTGTCTGACCCTGTCTTTATAAAGCACTCTGAGACTTCATCCTATGTGAAGGGTGCTAAACAATGAAAGTTATTCATTTGGAAACTCGTTTTCCTCTTCCGTATTGAGACCTGATTTAAGAAATGTTCAATTGTACATCATTATATTTTCCAGGAAGACTTGGTGCAAATTCAAGCCTTCCTCCAGTTTGTTTCATGGGTGTCTAAAGGTCTATTTAATGAATGCAGAGAAAGACCAAGCAGACTGTTATGCACTGTTTATTCTCCTAAAAGACCGTTTGATTTGCTTTCAGAGGTTGTAAAGCAGAGCTTCTATTTTAGGCTCTTTGGGTGGATAAGTCATCTAGTTTTCACCACTGCATCTGTGTTTATGCATTTCCTAGGATTTGATCTTTGAAACACATCCCAACATAAAGATGCTCTTCCAGTTGATATGTATAAGTTGATCTTTCATTTTTGCAGATAATTGAATTGTGCTGGGGCCTGTGAGCTCGTCTAAGAGGAGGAACAAGATGGCCTTCAGAACGAAAGCCCAAATCAATTATATTCACCTGGATGAACACCCCGCTACGCCTCGTGAGAAAGGTGCGTCTGTAAGATCAAGGATCAAAGGTTCATCTTGTCTGATAATTCCAGTCTCCCAAACTGAGCCAGGCCACTGTGTTTCATTTATTGGAAATTTGGTTGACTCTTCCCTGTGAACAATGCCATGATTGGCAGCTTCCTATTATCCACAAGATTCCTCTGGCAACTGCAGAGCAATCAGACGGACTTGTAGAAGTGAACCAGTTACTGGGGCTGGGAGATTCCTGTTAACCTTGCAAGTCCAACTTGGGTTCTTGCAGGACACAACAGGAAGCTTCCGGTATTTGCAATGTTTCAGTTGGTTAAACTCCAGTGCACCTTGCTTGCCCATTCCTGGAGAGTTTAAGCACAGGTTAGCTTTTACCCCCTCTCTTTCAAGGTAACTCTCAAGATTTACCTCTTCAACTACAGTTTGGATCATTTTTCCCCTCCCCAATCCTTAGGCTCAGTCTCCCTCTGCTCCCACTCCAGGTCAGGTGCCAAGCTAGGACTGCAGGCTCTTTGGGATACCCATTAAAAGCAATACAAATTTGTAAAGAGCTTTCACGTTGGGAGGACATAATGTGAAAAGTACTATTTAAATGTACCTTTGTATTGTACATAAAGTATAAAATTGGATGTTGCTGTGTTGAGGCATTCTTTGATAATTGTCTGTCTTTGGCAAGCTATGCTCAGTTGCAATATTTGCTTGTGTGGCAGGTCCAGCGAAAACATTTACAGTGGATGAAGCTGTGGAACACATTGGATTTGGCCGGTTTCACATTTTGCTGCTATGTATCATGGGCAGCACCAGTGTAAGTCATGAAACAAAGATTCTTTTACTAACCTGTGCCCTATTGCCAGGCCATTGAGTGTAACTTCAGTGAAAGTTTCTAAGAGTTGAACACTATCTTACACTATGGCCCACCGAATCTTTGAACTCATATTCTCTAACCTGACACTCCAATGCAGTATTGAGATGTGCTGCATTTTCAGGGCAACATCCTTTTGATGGGACATTAAATTGAGGTTCTGACTGCCTATTCAGGTGGAGGGTTAAAGATATGACACAAGAAAAGAGAAGAGAGTTTCTCTTGATATCCTGGTCAACAATTCCCCAGCACCCTGACAAGTTGAACAAGCCAAGTTAAATGAGTAAATCTACGAACTACAACAAGTTACACCTCAGTACTTACTGATCTATATAATAATACTTACATTTGGTAAAATGCCTTTTACGTTAGGAGGATATCTCAAAGAGCTTCACAGGTTATAGAATCATAGAACCATTTGGCCCACTGTGTCCGTGGCAGCTCTTTGAAAAGAGCTATCCAAATCCATCCCTCTCCCCCGCTCTCTCCCCATAGCCTCCCTTGTCCTCCCCATAACTTGTCCTCCCCAAAGGTATGCTGTAAAGTGTAATGACTGTTTATTTCTGGGGGAGCGCAGCAGCGAATTTGGGAATAGCACTGATCCACTGATCCACAGCCGTGTGAATATAATTAATTTTATTTGGGTAATTTTCGGCCAGGACACCGGGAGAGAGAAACTCCCTTCTCTTTTCTGCAAATTACCACACTGCAACGTGTTTTGCTTCATAGATGAATTCATTAAGCTTGGCTTGTTCACCACGATAGTTAGGTTTTTCGTCACAGCTGGGGGATTGTCAGTCAGGACACAGGGAAAAACTTCCTCCTCTTTCCAATCGCGCCACAGGATCTTTAATGTCTACCTGAACAGGCAGATGGGACCTTAGTTAACATCTGATCTGAAGGACGGCCTGTAACTGCTCACTTATTTCTCTGTGGTTGTTTCTTTATAAATTACCACCTTGTGATAGAAGAATAATTTTTTTAGGTAGTAAAAGAAAAGGTACTACTTTTAATAAAGTGAAAGGGTGGTTTTTGGCCACTGTTTACTATACATCAATACAAAGTCTGTAATCCGATTCAAGATACATTTGTGCGATACAAATCCATGCTGAGCATCACAGCATTGTCAGAAGTGCATCTTTCAAATGAGACTTGAAAGTGAGGTCCTCGAGTGGACGTTACAGACCAGACAACACTATATAAAAGAGAAGAGGAGTTGCTCCCTCTTCAACAGTCGTACAGATTAATACTCAGTCACTAAATGGCTATTCATAGAACGTGCGTGTTCACTGTTGCGTTTACCTGTGAATACAGTCGCTACACACTAATCCCTCTAAAAACCTGAAGACATTTTGATGTTATACTGTCCTTGGGATGTTCCCGACGTGAAAGGCGCTATACAAATGTAATTGTGTGGCTGTCATAGTCGCTCTATCAAATAGAAGTATTATTATTATCTAAGGTTGGGTGACTCTTCGCTGGGTTGGCTGATGTTCCTGTTGTTACTGCACTAGGTGGCTGAAGCCATGGAGATTATGCTGCTGGCAGTCATGTCCCCAGCCATTCGCTGTGAGTGGCGTCTGGAAGAGTGGCAGGTTGCCTTGGTTACAACAGTAAGTGTTTTTTCTCTTCACTTTGTTTGGCCTCCCTGTGTGATGCCTTTAACTTGACATCTGTGAAATACGTTCAATGTCTAAAAGCGTTGGGGGTGAGCTGACTGTCGTCCTTCATCAAGATGTTAAACCAAGGTCACACTTGCCTATTAAAGATCCCAAGGCACTTTTCAAAAAAAAAAGTTTCTCCCTGTGTCCTGGCCAACAATCTCCCCACAATTCATTATCCATTTCATGGCTGCCTGCAGGAAATAAATACCAAGTAGATTGGTTGCTGCGAATACACAGTCACTACACTTCAAAGTAAAAATCCTGCGAAGTGTTTTGAGACGTGTTGCTAGACGTTATGCAGCACTTGCAAGGATTATTATTGTTGATGAACTCTGTGCATTTGTTCTGCAGGAATCCGTGCAGCCAACACCTCAGTGAAACAAATCAAATCACATTGAACAGGAACCTTCTGACTTTGTTTATCAATGAATAGTTTATTCTTTGACTCAGGCACACAAACCTCAGCACATTTGTCAAATTTGAAAGATATTATTTCACTCAACAACACAGATGTTTTGTTGTGTAAACATCACAGGCAGCTGGGGTTTGGTGCTTTGCTGCACAGCCCATGCAATATATGGATCACAAATAAACCACACAATCTCCAATGGTATTGTTGATTATTGGCAAATAATTTTGAATAGGATTTTGGAAGGCAATGACAGCTCTGTTTCACAAAAAATATTTATGCAGTACCTTTCACATGGGATGAACATTGAAAGGCATGGATTTTAGAAGGAGATTGACAGATTCTTGGGGATTAGTAATATTAAAAATATGGCGAAAAGAGGAGGTGGAACATAGAAACATGGAAAAACAGGAACAGGAGGCCATTTACTCCATCCGGCCTGTTGCACCCTTTTATTAGATCATAGCAGATCTTTTCACTTTGATGCACTATCCTTTTGCCACACCCTTTAATTCATGTACTACTTTTAAACATCCCTATTGAATGTATAACTTTTCGGGCGGAGCATTCCACATCTTCACAACCCTTGGTTTGGCGAGATGCTTCCCGATGGTGGTACTTAATGCTGTGGAATGGTCTCATTGACCTTCTCTTGTTCCGGAATTCCTCAGTACTTATAGCCAGCAGGCAATCAACTGTGCCAACTGTTTGTTTTGCAGATGGTGTTTTTTGGCTTCATGGTGTTCAGTGGCATATGGGGGTTCTTTGCAGACAGATACGGGCGTTGGAAGGTGAGTGAAATCGTTTGGACCAGTGCTTTCTTCTTCATAGAAATAAGCACTTGTTCTCATTGCAACAATCTTAGGTGTGATATGGTTGAAATAGTGTTTAATTTGCTATGAAGCAATTCTGCAGAATCACAGGTCTTCTCTGTTGTTAATGCATCCGATTTTAGGACTTGCTACCTACTGGGCATAGAATCCTAATGATTTTACCTCTACTCTTCAATTGATATTTTATCCAAATAGCCTGTTGTGTTCCTCACCTCGACCCTGAGTCCATTCTGTACAGTTATTGTACTCCCTGTATAAGCAGTCATTTCCTTCAGTACATGTCTTGTGTGTTGTAGAGTTAGCACCTGCACAGCCAAAACAACACACTACAATTTACTCTTATATACGTCTTATATATGGTAGGAGGATGGCCCAAAGCATTTAAGCTTTCCCAATGCCCGAGTAGGAGTGAAGATAGGTCAGGAAAGAGAGATGAACGTTCAGAATAAAGACTAGAAATGGGCATACCTTATCAGCAAGCTCCTGAAACACCAACTATGAATGTTTAAGAATTCGATAAGGTGGATGTTGATAGGCTGTTTCCACTTGTTGGTGACTCTAAAACTAGAGGGTGTAAATATAAGGCAGTCAGTAACTGATCCAATAGCCAATTTAGCATGGAGGAACTTCATCAAATAAAGGGTGGTGAAAATGTGGAGCTCACTGCTGGAAGCTGTGGTTGAAGCAAGTAGTATCAATTTATTTAAGACAAAAAAGAGGGGTATAGGACAGGGGAATAGAGGGATATGGGAGAGGGGAATAGGCGAGGTCTAAGAGAGGGGAATAGGAGGGGTGGGAGCTCATGTGGAGTACACATACTGGCACAGACTAGTCGGGCCAAACAATCTATTTCCATGCTGTATCACTCTGTATAATTCTAGGAAACTAGGTTGTTTCAATGTTTCACACTGTTACCCACTCCATTCCTCTTGACAGCTTCTCCTCCTTGGTAGATATCTGTGGCTCTACACTTTTTCCGTTTTCAACCCAACTGATTCCATCATAATCAGTTTGTCTCTTCTAAAGCCTTCTCTTCTGCCCCTGCTCAGTCACATGTGGCGTGTCTACTTCAACAGCACCTAAACCTAGTTCAAGATCTTAAAGGGGTTCACAGGAACAGAGCAATAAGCTTTCAAAACAGTTTTAAAAGTGGAGTGAGAGAGAGAGTGAGGTGGAGGGATTAAGGGGGAGAGTTCCAGAACATGTGGTAATAAAGTAACCGAAGGCTGTCTCACCAATGCTGGAGTGAGGGTAGTAGTGATTGCAGGTGATGACAGAGCTAGGGCGGGACATAGGTGTGCAGGCATTTGACAGTTGGAATGTGGATATTGAAGCCAATCCAATGGAGGGCAGGGATAATTCTGGTCACAAGATCATAAGATTAGTTTGGATGAAGAAGGCCCTTTGGCCCTTCTGATCTCATCCCTCCAGAACACCCACCCAGCATCCTCCCATCACAGCATCAAACTGCTTTATAAATAAGTCCCAGTGTCCTGGCCTCAATCACCCTTCCTAGTAACCTGTTAATTACCCTCTGAGTAAAGAAAAACTTCCTGGTATCTGCCCTGAGATTAATCTTTGTAACTCTAAACCTGTGTCCTCTTTTTCTGATATCTTAGTGCATCCTGAAGTATTCTTCTGGGTTTACTTTTTCAATCCCATTTCTTCTCAACCAGTGCTTCCCATTTTTTTATTCATTTTTCTTGAGATGGGCAGGACAACTCTTGAGCTTCAGCCTTCACTCATATCCCACACACTATCTTCCTTCCAGCCAGTGGAAGGAATGTGATTTCTTGCACAACGTTGCACAGTGTTACACAGAATGATACGGAATACAAATAGGCCCTATTGGTCCATGCTAGTGTTTATACTCCACACGACCCTTCCTATTCTCCACTCCTAAATCCCTCTATTCCCTCCTCCCTCATGTATGGATCAAGATTCCTTTTAAATATATTTCATCTGAAACATTTACTTGAATCACAGTTCCCAGCAGTAGTTCCGCTTTTACAGTGTTTGTTCAGAGTTTCTCACTGCACAGTTGTACAAGGTATTTCCTCTAGGGAAGGTCACAAAGTGAATGCTTTCTCCTGTAATCATCATTGCAGGGAGGTATGCTGAAGTCAAGACGTTTAAGTAATTTACAGGAGAATTAGATTAATCCTTGAAAAATAAGTTGTGAAGGAACAGCAAAATAGAATTAGACAAAGTGGTTTATATGGACAAAAAAGCCAATGCAGACTTGATGTGCTGAACATTTTCTGATCGACTGACTTGATGCATTGTTTATCTGATCATAATTGATCTATTATTTCAGACAAGCAATTTGACACAATCTCCAAATAACCAGCTGACTGACATTTGATTGGGTTAAGGATGATCGAGATCAAAGTCATGAACACTATTGAGAAGTTGGGTTGTACATAGTGTTGGATATTGAACAGGACTTTTGGGAATGGAATCCTGTCTCTTAAGCATTTCCTTGAGAATTTCTTTGCCTTTTATTGAAACTTGTCATTGAGGAACTGCGATACATTGTACAGTTTAATGTGAGTGATTATTCCAAAACATTAGACATGTTCTGAGGAACGTTGACGAGACGTTGACGAGAACAGAAACAATTCCCAGATTGTTTTGTAAACACTTCTCAGTTGCAGCAGCGTCATCCCAGAGATGAGCAGGAATGTGTATTTTACATGTCTTCATTTTATCCCCATAGATTCTTCTTCTCGTCACTGTATGGAGCTCCTATTACTCATTGGTGACCTCCTTTGCCCACACTTATGTTTGGTTCATCTTCCTACGATCAATGGTAGGATGCGGAGTGGCAGGCCATTCTCAAGGGTACCCAACTTACTTTTGTACTAAATTTCTTTTTTTTGTTTCCTCATCAATTTTTCTCCTCCACATCACTATTTCATTTTATTTTTATTTCCACTTGTGGACTGACAATTCCAAAGTGCTGGTCTCTCACCCAGCTGGTAACTTTGCACTTGTGTGAGTTTTGATGGTGAGTGTGAATGTGCTGTTCAACCTTGGGGGCACAACACCCAAATTAGATCAGCTGATGTCCATACACAGTGTAGTGTGTGTGCTGGTACAGCTTATTTACCGGGTTCATTCTATAGTTTTTGACTGGCCTGTAAATAATGGCAAAAAGTAAATAAATTCTCACACTTGAATTATGTTTAGTAGTACCCTCTTCTCTGAGTCAGAAAGTTCAGGTGCAAGCCCCACATCAGTAACTGGAATTCACATGATGTAAACTGCCGCTCCAGTGGTGGCAGCTGGGGATGTATTGTATTGTCAGTGATGCCATCCTTCGGGTAATATGTTAAACAGAGGTCCCATCTGCTATGAGACCTTTAATTAAATTAGAACAGGTACAGTTAGAACAACACCTCTGGCAATGCAGTGCTCCTCCAGCAAGACACTGTAGTGTCAGTTCCAAGGCCCAATGTAGGCACAACCTTCTGACTTTGAGGCATGAGTGTTACTAACTGAGCCAGGCTGTCGCCCTGTATGAAATATGTCACCATATACAGTGGAATACATTTTAGGCGGACTCCAGATAACCCCGGTCGCCAGGTAAATCAAACAAAACTTCCGGCCCCAAATCATTCGTGTTCTTGTTTTAAATATGTTGGTTGGTTCACATAAAAATTTGGTTAATCAGTGCAAAATGCCGCACAGGTCACCACTGAACGTACTCACTCGTACCTTCTGTGTGTCCAGTGGTTCCATTAAGACACTGGGATGGAGACCGGAGGAGGCTAAGATTGCTTGACAGCAAACTGCAGCCATTCACAACTGACTGGAGTTGGGCTGTCAATCAACGAGGCAGCAGAGTAACCGGGAGAACGAGGGAGGGAATATCACGATTGATTGACAGCTGAGCGGCTTGTGAATAGGTAGTGCCCAGCCATTCACAAGCGGCTCCAGACTGTCAATAACCTCATCACCACCGCTAAATTCGTCCCTTTTCCCATCCAATGGGAAGGACAATGGACGGGAGGAAGCTCCTCTGCTTGATATTTTGCAGCCAAAGAAAGCGTTGAGCGTATAGCATTTTGACTTTAACTCCTGGGTTAAAATACTTGGTCTCCTGTTTGGTTAGTTAACATTGCTTCAAGTGAAATAACATTATTATATATTTGTAAACGGTTTGTGCTACTCTGCTAGGCGGGAATGGTATTTTGATTAACTTTGAACGCCTCTTAAGCTGGACAAATCGACCATCCCCGACATTTATCACCGTGTTGTCTTTGGTGTTGAGTAGGCTGTTCACATTTTCTTGCTTCTTCAATTTTCATTTCCCACACAGTGACATCAATTTCATTCCTTTCTCCACACAGATTTGTTCTGATGACAGAATTCATACCCTCTAAATACCGAGGACGCATCCTGCCTCTGGGCCAGGTAAGAGCGAAGGAAATTTGAAATTGTGAATGCCAAATGCTATTCCTTATATTGGGAGCTCTTCCTCCCCCTTCCCAGCACTAAATTAGAGTGTCAGCCTAGACTATATGAGTTTCAAGTCCCAACTTGAGGCTCCAATCCAAAACCTTCTGACTCAAGAGGCGAGCATGCTGACAGGCTGAAACTTCAGAAGACGTTAGATGTACAAAATGCCTAGAAGGGAATCTAGGGAGGAAGAAGTAAGTAATAAACACCAGCACAAAATGGTTGGGATAAATTGGCTGTTTTCACGCTGTACTGCCTCTGTAAATTCTGATTGGCAGTTGTACTATTGCCAATTTACCACATGAAGTTCAACCACTTCAGAGAGAGAGATGTTGGGGGATATAAGTGGAGTCCTGTAGCTCAGTGGTTAGAGCACTCGCTTTGCAAGCAAGAGACCTGAGTTCACTTCCAGGCAGGGCGAAACCTTGGGCAAGTTTCCTCACTTCACACGCCTAATAATAATCCCTCCAAAACCAAAAACAATAATAACAATTGGTTATTTTCAATCTACGACTGTTTGTGGGACATTGCTGTGCTGCCGCGTTCGCCCACAAATATACAGTCAATTCACTTTACAGTGTGTTCTGTGAAGCGCTTTGGGACGTCCTCCCGACGTGAAAAACGCTATATCAAATGCAAGGATTATTATTATTATTATTATTACTTGGCTCTTGCAAACATTCGGCTAAGACTTTCCGGAATTAGATAAGGAAGATGCATCCCTCCAGGAAGAGAGTGTGCACTCCATTGCAATAGTCTATCTGGAATTTCCATGTGTAGGTGGGAGGCGTGGAAATCTCAGTTTGGTTTGGATACTCTTAAACATTGTGATAGGTTTCTGCATGTGATATACGTCCAGCTGACCCCACCCCCCAAAAAAAATCAGAAAACAAAACGTGAGGAATGCCTTTGTGCTATGTTCAAAATTGCTTATTGGGGTCCTGAGCACCACAGTTAATCTCTTTGCTGAAGGCTGGCCTTAACCTTGGATCGGAGTGTCAACATGGATATAGAAAATTATAGATTTTTTTACCTCTCAACATTTTCTGCAGCATTTACCTGCTCCTACCTTTTCTTCCAGATATTCTGGCTATTAGGATCTACGCTGGAGATTTTGCTGGCGTACCTGATCATTCCCACACTGGGCTGGCGATGGCTTGTCCGGATCTCCACTTTCCCGAGCATTGTCCTGCTTGTCGTGTTCAAAGTGAGTAACAAAAATTTGGTTGCTCTACAAATAGGGTGCGCGTTGGGCCACATATTTTTAATTGTCAGTTACACTCGTGAAGGCCAGGCAAGCCTCAGAGGGGATATTTTAGACATATTGAAGATCCAAAATGTACCAGCAAATTAAACCTTTTGTAAAATGTTCAATTTATCACAAACTCTACGTGATTTTAGCTGGTTGGACTGTAGCAGAATCCTAATCAGCATTCTGGGTTCCTCGAGACAAGGCTTTTTCCAACTATTACCAAAGATCGTGATTCGCCTCTGAGGAGAGACTTCATTCCGGATAAAATGGAATCCATTTTCATATCTATGTCGAGATGTCAGTTCGGTTTGGAGGCTCTTAAGCAAGGAGATAGTGCAGGGGGATTGAAAGAACAACAACAACTTGCTCTCATATAGCGCCCTCCACACAGGGAAGCATCTCAGATGGCCATAAGCACCGTCAAAGAGGAAGGTTTTCATCCGAGACTTGAAAAAGTAGAGAGATGGGGCAAGGTGGAGGGATTGAGGGAGAGTATTCCAGAGTTTCGGGGCATAGATGCTGAAAGCGCGACCTACGATGATCGGCAGAGAGTGCGTAGCACAAGCAGGAGCCTGGTGCCAGTCAAGCAGAGGATTGGCTATTGAGGAGGTCAGAAAGTTAGGGAGGTGGCAGAGTCTGAAGGTATTTGAACACGAGTGTGAAGATCTTGAAGACGATCTGCTCGGTGATGGGGAGCCAGTGAATCTGGCCAGAACTGGTGAGATGATGAATTGTGGGAGTTGGGCTGGGTAAGTACGTGGGTGGCAGAGTTCTAAATGAGCTGGATTTTTTGAATAGTGGAGCTGGGGAGATCGGTAAGGAGTGCATTTGAGTAATCTAAGCCGGAGGTGACAAAAGCATTCCTGAGGGTTTCACCTGCATTTGGGGTAAGGTACAGTCAGGTGGACAATGTGGAGTAGAAGGCGGCATTCCTGGTCAGGGACCGGATGTGGGGGAGGAAGGACAGCTGGGATCGAACCGGATTCCTAGATTGCGCACTGGTTCGGTGAGGAAGAATCCAGGGAGGTTGAGGAGTTTAGGTCTGTGGGAGTGAAGACTTTGATGGGAGCCAAGGAGTATGGCTTCCGTCTTGTCCACATTCAGCTGAAGGAAGATTGCACTCATCCAGACCCTGATGTTTGCCAGGCAAGCTGATAGAACATCGGTGGACCTGGAGTTGGTATTGGAGGAGGCAAACTAGATTTGTGTATCGTCCGCATACATGTCGAAGTAAACCCCGTGTCTGCAGATACCATCACCCAGACGGAGCATATAAATAAGGAAAAAATGAGGGGGAGGATAGCGTGGTCGACTGTGTCAAACGTGGCAGAGATCCAGGAGGATGAGGAGGCGGAGGGAGCCCTGGTCACAGATAGAGAGGGCGTCATTCATGACTTTGACAAGCGCTGTCTCTGTGCTGTGGGCAGGCCGAAAACCAGACTGCAGGGGCTCGTGGAGGGAGAAGTATGACCGCAGTTGACCTGCAACAATGCATTCCAGGACTTTGGCAAGGAAGGGTAGGTTGGAAATGGGGCAGTAGTGTGAGAGATTAGAGGGATCGAGAGTAGGTTTTTTGAGGAAGGGGTGTGATTTTTGAGGAGCTGGCTCTGTCAAATGTCAGCAATGTTGCAGAAAGGGGGGAGTGGATGCTGTTTTGAGACTATGATAAGGAAATACTGGAAATTTACGAACCGGACTGGCTGATCAACAGTAAAAGGAAAACAAGAAAGGAGCATGACAACGAACCAACTTAGTTGGGGAACAAAGAATGTGTATTCTCTACGCTGGATTCCGATTTTTTTCATGTTTGCGACTTCTCGATTGAAACATACGAGGGTATTTTTTTGTGCTAAAGAGGAAGGGAGGGATTTGATTTATACAAAAAAAATACTTTGTCAGTTTCATTTTCAAATGTTATTGACGTACTGGTAAATAATATTAATTCTTGCATTTGATACAGTGGCTGTCATGTTTAAACATCTCGAAGCATTTCGAGATGTCAATTTCGAGATGGCTGTCAAATGAATATAGAGCTTATTTGTGCACAAAGGCCACAGCCTTGAATAAACTAGAAGCCCTTTTATTTGATGATGGTATCCTTCTCACTCTTGTGGCTGCGCTGACCTTGTGATCCTCTCTCCAGTTTAGCAGGACCCTTCTGCACCTCTCTGAGCTGTTTGTACTCCACTCCTTTGCCTACACCCTTCACTCATGAAACCTCCTGCTCATCCCTCAGCCCCCCGACCTTTCTCCCTCTCTGACAATCTAAATCCCACCCAAAAATCATTCCTGTGGTCACCTCCCCCTTCAAAAAGAAAGCACTCTGAGACGTTATCCTTCATAAAGGCCGCTATATAATATAAGTTGTTGTTCAGTGTATTCCAGAGTCAGCACGATTCAATGTCTCTGTGGGAAACACTCAGATTGCTACTCAGACTCTACAATACATTGCGAAGATGAACCGAGTCTCTCTTCCCCGTGGCTCATTGGTAGAGTCTGGTCTGGTAAGTACAGAAAGCGCCATATGCAGTGAGTCCGTTTTCCTTTTGGGAGAGAGTGTAATTGTACGGTGAAGTGGTGGTGGAGGAACAAACAGTGTTTCGATTGTCACAAGTCACAAAGAGCACATTCATATTAGCTGATAATATTAATATATCCTTGTATTTAATATTGTTCCTTATCAAGGCGTCACAGAGTTTTTTGTTTAGTATGATGAGAATGTGGAACTCGCTGCCATTGAGTAAATGTCATCAGTTTATTTTAGGAAAAAATTGATGGAGACATGAAGGAGAATAGAATAGAGGAGACGAGGTGGGAGGAATAGGAGGGTGGGGGACTCGTATGGAGAATAAACGCTGGCGCAGACTAGTTGTGCTAAACGGTCTGTATCACTCAATGTAACTCTATGTATTTGTAAGCTAATTTACCTGCCAATTTGGATACAGCACTGCAGGTTTTTTTCTTTGGGGTATTTTGGCCAGGATATCTCTTCTGTAATAGTGTCAAGGGATCTTTCACGTCCACCTGAACAGAAGACCTTGGTTTAGCATCTGATTTGAAGGACGGCATCTCCAGCAATAAAACACTCTGCAGCATTGCATTGAAATGTCAGCCTAGACTATGAGTTCAGAGCCCGAATGCGGGACTTGGATCCACACCCACTGAATCAGGCAAATATCCTGGCGATCAGTTAAACCAGTTAAATTAAAAAAAAGTCCAGTCCCTTTGGGTAGGGATTCTTCCCACTCAGCTCCTGTTAACCCTGCAAACCATGGTCCCAGCTGGAAAACCAATAGGAAGCTTATCACACACAGTGCTCTCAATAATGAAGTTTATAATTTTAGCTGGTTAAACTCCAGCATCACTCTGGAATCGCCAGACCTTCTCAACATTCTCCACCTAATACTCTCCAGAATTAGAATTTGGTAAACAGAGAGTATCAGGGAAGAAACCGTGCACTCTATTCTGATTTACGGGAATTTCAATGTGTTTGGGCGTACATCAAATTCTCAGTCTGCTTTGGATACTCTTAAGCACTATGATGGGTTTACCCATGTGTCAGGCACACAGCTGACAAGAAACAAATGCAAAATGTTTGCTTTCTTTGAGAACAACCACCACTATTAGTGGTTATTGTGTGAAAGTCGCCAGCACCCTGCAGCCTTGTGACGTTGCTGAGACTGAAAGCATGCCAGACTTTTCAACCTTTGCTGCCTTGCCAAGGGGGAAAAAAAAACAGGACAGAGTTTCCATTGAAATGCAGAATGGCGATAGAAGGAAGTCATTCCTGGAGAGTGAAGGCACTCGGATTATGAGGTGATGAGACTTGTGGAAGGAATATTTTGGGAAGGTTGGGGGTAGCTAGATTGGCTAATAAACGTCTCAAACTGTTAGAATGTAAAGCACATCTTCCAATTGTCCTTGTAATATCCCTGGCATAAAGCTATCACGGAAGCTGAGGTGGTTGTGCTCTTTGCAAAGAGCTTTACTAAGGATGGAACACAGAGTCCAATTCATTCTGACACACCTCAATCACGTGCTTTAACCTCACCTCACAACAGGAGCTGTTTTTGCACCAGTAAATGTTTCCATATTTCCTATCAACTGTCCTTCTCTGAGGAGAATTGAAAGTTCTGTGCTGGGTTATTGTCTGAGACAATCCGTCCTTTGGATGAGACATTAAATCGAAGTCTTGTCTCCTGTACAGGGGCACATTAAACATCGCATGGCACTATTCGACAAGAGAAGTGAGTTTCTCTCTCCCGGTGTCCTGTCCAACAATCCCCCAAATAAAAAAAAATTGGTCATTTGTTTCATGGCTGTTTGTGTGACATTACTGTGTGCAATTGGACTGCCTCATTCGCCCACAAATATACAGTCACTCCATTTCGCAGTAAATACTGTGAAGCGCTTTTTCCAACCGTATCAAATACATCAATGATTATTATTATTATTGGAACAATGCTTAGGTGCTCCACCCTCATTGTATGTGTATGCCTCTTCAAAACCATGACCTTTGTGATCCACAAATGTACTTATCCTGCTTGGCTTATTAGTAGCACCATATCTGACATGGATTTTTTTCTCGTTGTAGGCAAAGAGGGGGCAATTTCTTGATTTGCTTGATTCAGGGTACAGACGCACAACACTACAGTCATGGTTCATATGGTAACACATTTCCTCTTTCTCAAGAAGTAAAACAAATGTACTTGAATGTCCTACAGATAGATCCAGCACAGCAATGTGCGAGCTATCCTTTCTCTATTTCCGTTCTCTTCTCGCATCCTTTAGCCACTTTGGTGTGCTTATAATAATAATTCTTGCAATTGATATATCATCACATTATAGAGGTGTCTCAATGCACTTCATAGAATATATTTTAAAGTGCAGTGACTTTATGAGCGAGGTGCGGCAGCCAATTGCACAAGCAATGTCCCACGAACAGTCGTGGATTGAATGATCATGCAAACAAAGTCTATTTTCTAAAATCTAACCTGCTTTAAAGTTATAATAAATAATAAAGAATAGGAAAGCATGCCCTATAACTGCTTCGTAGGGTATTCTGTAGAGCAGAGTGCTGACCAGTTTAACCTGCATGGGTCTCATTCAGTGCCAAAATACGAGAAATTATCGTGAGGAAGTGGCATGCATGTAACTCTCAGTCTGGTTTGCATCCTCTTAAACATATTGTTAGAATTCGGCTAAGTCCCCCACCCCTTCCCAAATGACTCTTGAACTCTAAAGCCAGCCTAGCAGGGTTTTGTGCTATCCTGTGCTGTAATAGTTGGGTGTTGGCATGCTTATCTTACACAGGGTTACTTGTGGAGTCCTGTAGCTCAGTGGTTAGAGCACTCGCCTTGCAAGCGAGGACCTGCTTTTGATTCCCGGCAGGGCGAAATGTTGGGCAAGTTTCCTTCCTCCACATGCCTCTGTTTACCTAGAGTTTCCGGTGGTAATAATTCCTTCAACAAAAAAAATCACAAATTGGTCACTTCAATGCACGATTGTTTGTGGGATGATCGTTTCTCTTTCTCCAGCTTTTCTGAAACAAATCAATGATATTTTATTATAATTTTAAAGCAGGTTAGATTTTAGAAAAGAGAATTTATCTGCATTGTTTCACTTGCATCCAGTTTTAATCAAGTCTATTGTTTAAAATAACGATTCGTAATTTACAATTGTTTTTTTCCAGGCTGGGATCAGCGTTTTCTTACTACGGACTTGTCTTAACCAGCTCGGAGCTATTGGAAAATAACCCTATCTGCAATTCCTTAGAAAGTGCAGAGTCACTGCACATCAAGTCAGTGGAAATTTGCCACTGTAAAATGTTTGAGGCTGCAGATTACCAGACAATGATCATCAGTACTTTGGGAGAATTTATATGTGAGTCAGAACATATCTTTATTGTTTATTGCATACTTAAACACCAGCTGCTCTTTCCGTGGATATATGTTAAATATAAAACTCCTCACTAAGAGTTAGTGCTTCTAACTCTGTGCAATGCTTGAATATCCTTTTTATGTTGCACTTTCCACCTCGATTGATTTTGTTGGTGCCTTGACTTTAACACTCCCCAAATCATCTCAGGACTGCCATCGTCTGGTGTAAGTCATGTTTTGGGTTTAAACGTTCTTAGCTGAAACAAAATGCACCAAATGCTGCCTTTGTAGAGTCACTCAATGGGTGAGAGCGATTCAGAGCCAGAAATACAATCCCATTTCCTGCTATGAATTGATCCACTGCTCTCTCAACTTGTCCGAATTAGTAACACTCTTGTCTCTTGGTTAAAAGGTTGTGAGTTCAAGCGTGACATAACAACTTGAGCTCATAGACCAAGCTGCTATTTCAGGCAGCTCTGGGGAAATGATCATCATGAATTCCCTGTTTTGGATCAACCACTGAAACCAAGTCCCATCTGCTTGCTCAGGTTGATATAAAAGATCCTATGTTACTATTTGAATAGCATTTTTTAGAATGGAGTTTCTCCTTATGTCCTGGTCAATATACAAATTGGCTGTTTGTAGGATCTTGCTTTATGCAAATTCACTGCCACGTTTCCCTTCAAATATACAGGGAATTTTTCCGTCAGCCAGATGTCTGCCATATCCAGAAATACATCACGATGCTTAAGAGTATCCAAACCAGAAAGAGAGTTCCATGTCTGGAATGGGATGCACATTCCTTCCCTGGAGGGACATTTTCACGTGTGAAGCACTTTGAGATACATTGATCTTCGAGGCACAATAAAGATGCAAGTTGTTTCAATTAATGGAAGGAAAACGAGTACTTAAATATTTAATTGATCACAAGAAGGCTACTTCGTCACGAGGCTAGAACCTTCCTCTAGCCTCATCGACTGAAAGATCAACTGGACTATAATGATAACAACAATGATCCTTTATCTGGTGGATTGTAGATCAGGACACTGGGAGAAATTCCGTTGTCTTTTCTCGCCTACAAAATGGACAGTTACTACACTTGTAGTAGAAACCATTCATTTGATATGGTGCCTTTGACATCAGGAGATTATCTCAAAATGTTTCACAGGATTTACTGTAAAATTTACTTAGTGACGGTATTTGTAGGCAAACAGAGCAGCCAATTTTGCCCACAGCAATGTCTCACAAACAGCCATGAAGTGAATGATCGATTTTTTTTGGGAGCAGTTGGCCAGGACGTCAGGAGAAACTCCCTTCTCTTTTCCAGTAGTCCCATGGGATCAACATCTACCTGAACAGACACAGATGGGGCCTTTAACATCTCCCTCAAAGAGTGGCACCTCTAACAATGCTTTGACACTTCTTCCTGATGTGAAAAGCACTACATCAAATGCAAGGATTATTTTGTTAATATTTCATAATTAGTTTATTGTCTGCCTGAACTTTCTGGTAAATGGCGTTTCTTGTGAAAATATATTATTTTGAGCTTGGATTTAGCAGGTCTAGGTGTGACGCTGCATTTATTATGGTTGGAAGCCCTTTCAGAAACAGATCAGTTTCAGGTGAACAAGCAGGGGATTTGCAGGTGATTTGCTTCTGACAGATGATGTGCAGTAATTAAATGGTATCATGCCAAAATTGTCAGATAAATAAGGGCTCGCTTGGACTTAGTCACTGTCCTTTGTAAGTATTACATTTTCTTTAAAAGCTTCTCTTCTGACGCAGAACATTATTTTTCATAAATGGGAGTGAAAATCTCCACCCTGTGTCAGACAGCACACAGACTGTCTTTGTTGATCCTCACACTTGTATTCAAATCCATTCACTCCTTGGCACATCCCTATTCTCTGACCTCCTCACTCCACAATCCACCACCTGGCTCCTCCGCTTGACTGGCACCGGCCTCGTACTCGTCCCTCGCACCCTTTGCCCCGCCATTGGAGATCGCGCTTTCAGCCACGACGCCCCAAAACTCTGGAACACTCTCCCTCAATACCTCCCCCTTGCTCCCTCTCTCCCCTCTTTCAAGTCCCAACTTTCCTCTTTGATCGGGCTTACGACCAGCTCCCCCCCCCTCCCCCGGCTCGGAGTCATGCTCCGCCATTGTTAAGTGCTTTGAGACGCTACCTGTGTGGAGGGTGCTATATAAGTGCAAGTTGTTGTTGTTCCTGTGCTCAATAAATGTTGGCATTTCCTAGGAACACTACAGACCAAAACAAGGCTAGTTTAACCTTGTGTCTGCAGATCATTTTCTGTCCTATAAACATAGAGAAATCTAATGTGCACATATGTAGCTCCTTTCACACAAAATTAATATCCTTGGGATGGATTGAGTATGCCAGTGTCTGCTGATATCAGGTTATGTAAGAGTGTCACTGCCAATAAACTATAGTAAGTAGTCACTGCTATCAGAGTGAAACAATTCCTCATTTCTGTTATTAAGCTGTGTAGAGGTGCTCACTGCAATACCAGTATATAATATATTTATAACATATGCAAGTTACTGTTGTAGTCTATACAGAGGTCACTGCTAACATCAGTATATAGAGATAGCCCTGACACTATACACAGATGCTCACTACTAATACCAGTAATATGGTAATAGTCTACATACAAGGGCTCACTGCTAACATTATTTTCCCTCCCTCTTTAGTTGTACCAATCAGCCCTTTTGCAATGGAGATCTTGGGAAGAAGGCGAATATTGGCATTAATGATGGGATTGTCTGGCATCTTCTTTCTGTTGCTCAACATCTGCACCTCCAGGTACGTATATGATTTTGATCTCATTGAAGAACAGCCTGGTTCGGTTGCTAGCACTCTCATCTCTGAATCAGAAGGTTGTGAGTTCAAACACCATGGACCTGGACTTTGAAGTGCAGGTCCATGCTGACACTCCAGTGCCTTGCCAGGGGTCTATGGTTACATCCTTCAGAAGAGACGTTAAACTGATGTCCCCTCTGCGTGTCCAGGTGAATGTTACACATCCTGTAACATTATTCGAAGCAGAGTTTCTCACGGGATCCTGGCCACAGCAATTTCCCAATTAAAACTCATCACTCACTTAATGGCTGTGTGTAGGACTTTGCGGTGAGCAAATTTGGCTTCTGCGTTTGCCTGCAAATTCAGTCATTACGTTTTATAGTAAAATGCTGTGAAGCACTTTGAAGCACCTTTAGAGGGAGCAGTCTCTTTGGAGCTTAACTGGCTCCAAGGTGAAATGTTTGGCAATGGAATATTGGAATCAAGCCATCGCTCTGTGGTCAGGTGGGTCCTCAGTATTCCAAGGCACTGCATTGGAGTGTCAGCGTGGACCTGCAGCAGTCAGCCTGGTTTCAGCTACACTTGATGGTTTTATGTCAGCTTCGAGGCAAAATTTGGGAACTCACCGATATACATTTTTGTCTGCCCCAACCCTTTAAAGCTTGGAGCCTCACCTCCAGCACAATGTAAAACTATTCTGAGCTTGGATATAGATTCTTCTTTACTCCAAATATAGTCTTTATTTCACATAAATTACTGTGGTTAAATTTTCAAACTTTTTCTTTTGATTTAAGGATTGAATTGACCATAATACTGTTTATTCTCCGGGGCCTTGTGTCTGCAAACTTCACCATCATCTACATCTACACTGCAGAGGTAGGTGTGTTGGCTTCATTGAAGTGAACCGACAGAAATAAAGGAAATAAACAAGGTTTGGTGATGTGGACGTAGGTGCTATTCCCTCAATTTACTTCAGCACAATGGTATTGATCAAAGAAGGTCTTATAAAGAAAGTTTGATAGGGAATGAACACACATGATTAGCAAATGAAGTTCAATAGAGATAAATGCATATAGGAAGCAATACAGTAATAGGAAATATACATACTCTGTGCCTGAGATAGAATTTGATAAAGGGGAAGCTGAAAAAGAACTGGGGGTCTTGGTTGACTTATCGTTCATCATATCAAAACAGTGTAAGGCAGCAATAAACAAGGCAAACAGAATGCTGTGATATACAGTATTGCCAACTCACCAGAGTTCAGCTCCCAAAATGTTATTCTCAAGCTATAAAGAGCTCTGAAATCGCTGCATACAGTTCTGGTCACCTTGACATAATGGGACTGCCCAGCCCCTTGAGGCAGTGTTGATGATGATGATGATGATCCCGAGTGTTTAAGGAATGAGTTGTGAACAATGAATAGGCAAACTAGGGCTCTTCAGTCTTGATGTCTCAGATGAGCCTTTTTAGAGAAGAAATTGGATGTGAAAGTACATCCACATCAATAATTTAGGATGCACCAAGGCAGTAGAACAAGATGACAGAGTTTTAGAGTTGCAAGGGACAATTTCAGGACAGACCCGAGGAAGTTAATGTTAATTAAGGAACAAGAAACTAGGAAGAGAGAATATTTCTGTGATGTGATAATTATCACCGGTAACAATTAACACATTGTGTGTTACATTCCTTTTTCCAGAGATAATAATTCCATAAAATAAATTTTTCAAAAATAACATTTTGTCACTCAATCTATGATTGTTTGTGCGACATTATTGTGTGCAATTGACTGCTGCGTTTCTCCCACAAAATATAGTTAATTCACTTGAGATTATATTCTGTGAATCGCTTTGAGACATATCAACGATGTGTTAAGACGCTGTATCAAAATGCAAAGATTATTATTATTAAGGCCAGGACTCATTCAAAAGACAGCCTGATGTTTTGATAGGAGGATGGTCGATTGGATGTTTTGTAAGGATGAGATCAAATGCCCAAAGGGAGTTTGTCATCTGAACTAACCTTGCAAGGATAACCTGTGTTGGGCTGAATGACCAAGCTAGTAATATTGTGTCAGTTGTTGCAGGTGCTTCAAGTTACATATTACTGAGCTGTGTCATTGAACTTTACTTGCACCCCAGTTATTCCCACTGCTCGGCAGATGAAAAAAAAGGTGAGTTTTCAAATAGGATGTGAGGATGGATCTTCTTCATTTGAGAATTTAATATAGGTGTAGTCACCTAAGAAAACAGAGAAAGATGTGTTATTCGGTACAATGATGTGGCAATTAACTGACAAAAAGCCTTTGTTTCAAGACAGTTGCAGGTCAGCATGTTGTGTAGCAAAGTTTGAAAGGAAACAGCAAAAATGAGTGCGGGCAAGAAACAATTTTTAGTGAAATTTGGATAGTAAAGGAAACCAAGTGATTTCTTTACAAAGATCTTTAGCATGTCCTTCTAAATCCTCTCTTTGATCCCCCTAGTCACCATCTTATATTTGTGTCCCTGGTTACAGGGTTAGGGTTTAATATTCATACAACTAAGGTGAACAGATTTTTTTTGTTTATGTTTGTTTATGTGAAGAATGCTAAGGATTCTTGTAAGAATTCTTTTCACAAGTCTCTTACTGTGAGAACAACTATGCAATGTTATAGTACTCTTTATGTGGCATAGCATCTCAGAGTACTTAACAGAGGCTTAACAAAGTACAGAGTACTTAACATTATTTTGATGTCGAGCCCGGGAGAAAGGGAAGTTGACAATGGATGTGGTCGAAAGTCTTCAGTTGCGATCCGACCGATTGTCAGTGGGATATATTTTAGATTTTCAATTAGTTCAGCTCTTCCATCATTCTTGTGCTGTTGTGATTTAGAAATGTGCTGCGTAACGGAATTGTTCATGTTTTATATGTATACATGACATTATTTATATGATAAATAATTTGCCTACTGCACATATGCGGATATTTTCCAGCCCTCTTCTCCTTACCTTGACCTCCAATCCTCTGACCTTGTCCAACCACTTGTCAAACACTGTATGGGCCAGAGCTGGCTGATGGGTGTTTGGGGCAGCTACTACCCCTTTACCTCAGACCTTTTTTAATAAGAAGCAGACAGTGAGAGGAGACTCCTTCAATCTTACAGGACTGGGCGTTGAATTCAAGTCCCTGAGGTTAGATGGCTGACTCACCAGAATATTCAGTATCATTTTTAATCAAAGGTCCTTCTTTTTCTCTTTGTTTTGGTGGTCACTTGGGAAACAGGTGACCTTGGTTTCTTTTTTTAGACTTCTTTTGCTCCACCTGGTTACTGACTGAATAAAATAACACTGTGGACTCTTTTGAATGTCCTAGCCCATCAGTTAAAGCCCAATACTTACAAATGATTCAGCAAATAGCTCTTGCTCTTGATATCTTTTCTATCGCCACACTGAAAAGTGCTGGCCAATTTTAGAACTGCCCTTGCCTCATAGTTGACAACTTTAGTTATTGTCCTTCAGGTGAGACATTAAACCGAGATTCTGTCTGCTGTTCGGGTGGATGTTAGAGATCCCACGGCATTACTTGAAAAGAGAAGGTAGTTTCTCCTGGTGTTCTGGGCAACAATCCCCCAAATAAAATTGCCTTCATATATGTGGAACATTACTGTGCACAAATTGTGTTCAACTACATGCACAGTCACTCCACTTTACAGTATAACCTGTAAAGCTTTGGGACGTCTTCCTGACGTGAAAGGCTCTATACTAAATATAATAACGTTATTATTAGTTAACATGATTAGTTAAGCCAAGTCAAATATGGTGCATATTAATGTTGCCAGTAAATTAATCCCTCAGATAAAATTAGTCACTCACTTAATAGTTGTTTCAGGGGCATTGCTGTGTGCAAATTGTACTGTCATGTTGGTAAATAACCCACAGTCACAGTCATACAGGTAGACACAGAGAAACTATTTCCTATGGTGGGGCAATCCAGAACAAGGGGGTATAATTTTAAAATTAGAGCTAGGCCATTTAGCAGTAGAAATCAGGAAGCACTTTTTCACACAAGTGATAGTGGAAATCTGGCACTTTTCCCCCAAAAGGATGCGAATGCTGCATCAATTGGAATTTTCAAGACTGAGATTTTTGTTAGGTAAGATTATCAAGTGATTATAGAGCAAATGGAGTTGAGGTACAGATCACCCATGATCTAATAGAATGATAGAACAAGCCTGAGGAGCTGAATGGCCTACTGCTGTTCGTATGTAACAAGACTGTGGCTCTGATTATAAATAAGCTATTCATTTGCTGTGACGTTTGCTTGCTTTCACATTCTAGGTGTACCCCACAACCATCCGGTCTCTGGGTTTGGGCTCAAGTAGTTCAATGGCTCGTATTGGAGCAATGACTGCGCCCTTTATTGCACAGGTAAGCTGTCTTTTTTGGGGGGGCTTTTATCTGGCAATGCAAGCAGCATACGTTCAGCGAGTATGAGTTAAGTTCATCCATCTGTTCTCAGTCATCTTTTCAAGTATGTTTAGGAATAAAAACGGGAGTCCGTTGCCTTGGGACGTCCTTCTGACGTGAAAGGTCCTATACAAATGTAATTTTGTATTTATATTGTTCATACTGTCCAACTGATCTTATATGTTCCCAACATGTTCAAAACTAGACCTGACTCCAAGCGGGAAAACTGTAGAAAATTTAACCTGATGTAAAATTGCCCATATCTCATCCTCGTGATGAAAGCATCATTCGTCACGTCGTCTGTTATTATCTTTACAGGTACTTTTGCCACTTTCGCCTGTCACCTCCCTGTGCTTGTTCAGTGCAGTGTGCATTGTGTGCTCTGTTCTTGCTTTCACCCTTCCCATTGAGACCAAAGATCGCGAAATGCAGGTAAGAGGTACTTAATTTGAAATACCTGCAAGAGTCCTGTCAAGCTTTCACCAAAATATTTCTCCTCAAAGAAACAATATGAAAAGATTTACAGAAAGAGCAAGGCATTGAGATAAGAGCATTTTGCTCCACTAACACCATGAGACTCAATAGGCTGAATGGAGTCTTTCTGAGCTGCCACGATCAGTCATTAAGAATGAAAGCACCTCCTGTGTCTCAACCTTGTGGTGAGGTTGATCCTCTATCATTGTGAAGTGGTCTCTGAACCAGCCGATGGAAAGAATCATTCAGCCTTCTCGCTGAGACCACACGCTGGCTCCCACAATATCTGCCTCAAGTTGGCACTTTCCAAAAGAAAGCACCTGAGGACCAGAGGAAGCAGATATCCTACAAATACTAAAGAAGATTATAAAATGGTCCTTTGGGGTAAAAAAATAAAGAGAGTCTGTCTGAACGAAGACTCCACAGTTTGTAAAAGATTGCACGTGATATTTACCATGTTAAATATTCATAGAAATTTAATTTATTTATATTTTTTATTTTATTTTTATGGAGAACAAACATTTCATAGATGTGAGCAGTAAAACTGAAGTTGTGCTGTGAAAATTGAAGTGCCTAAGATAGTATTATGAATTGTTTCAGTTAACTACAATGCAGTTTAGGGGTTTGTGGTGAGAACAAGACTTAATAAAATAGATCATTTACTTCATGGCTGTTTGTGGGATATTGATACGACCCACCTCTGACCGTACCTTAACCCAAATGCAGCCAAAACCCTTGTGCATACGTTTGTCACCTCCCGCTTGGATTACTCAAACGCACTCCTCGCCGGTCTCCCCAACTCCACTATTCAAGAGATCCAGCTCATTCAGAATTCTGCCGCCTGCATATTTACCGAGACCTAACTCAATACCCACGTACCCCAGTTCTGGCCAGGCTCCACTGCCTCACCATCGGAGATCATGCTTTCAGCCACTATACCCCGAAACTCTGGAACACTCTCCTTCAATCCATCCGCCTTGCCCCCTCTCTCCCCCTTTTCAAGTCCCGCCTGAAAACCTTCCTCTACGACCGTGCTTATGGCCATCTCCTCCCCCACCACCCCCGGGACTCAGAGTCAGGCTCCGTCACTGTTAAGCGCTCTGTGTGGAGGCCGCTATATTATTATTATTATTATCCTTGCATTTGATATAGTGTTTTTCATGTCTTCTAGACATCTCAAAGTGCTTCACAGAATATATTATAAAGTGAATTGACTGTATATTTGTGGGCAAAACGAGGCAGTCAATTGTGCACAGCAGTGTCCCACAAACAGTCCTGGATTGAAGTGACAATTTATTATTGTTTTTTTTTCTTGAGCGATTATTACGGAAGTGTGGAGTAAGGAAATTTGCCCAAGGTTTCACCCTGACCATAGTCAAACCCAGGTCTCTCACTTGCAAGGCAAGTGCTCTAACCACTGAGCCACAGGACTCCTATGTACGAATAGGGAACTTGCCTATTTTATAAGCGCAAGTTGTTGTTGTGCACCAATTGGCTGCCATATTCGCATACATACAATCACTATATTTGACACTATAGCCTGTGAAGAGTTTTGGGGTGTCCTCCTGACATGAAAGGCGCTACATCAAATGCAAGGATGTATTATCATTATAGCAACCCAGAACAATATTCAGAGTTGCAGGTTCTTCAAAATCTGTCCGTGATGAAGAAAACGATTTCGAATTTTGTTGAGCTTAATTTTGTTTTTTTTGCGAAAAACTCTGATGAACAAAAGTGACCTTATCTGCAAATGTGTTTTGCAAGCAAGTTTTAGAAAAAAANGTTTTTGTTTATTTTCACAGGAAATGAAGTCATCGGACCCCATTAGTTGAGTTACACAGTTCGTCAGAACAAGACGCAGTGAATATGAAGAATGTATATTTTAACCTCGTGGACTCGTTGCTTCATCTTCTGCAGTGTGTATGGTCATACATGTCCATCTAGTGACTAGCACAAGAATCACACCTTTTGACGGCCCAAATCAATAAAAATTTTATCACACAATCCACAGCCTTCAATATAGCGGTTTTCCCTGAGAAAGACTGAGCAAGTATGTGTGACTTTTAGGAGTTCTAATGGGGTTCAAGCTGAATGATTAATGTCATTGAAGAAGGTCAGGTATAGCAACATCAGGCCGTTTTCACTCTTCACTACCAGTATGGCTTAGCCCCATTTCCTAACGATTGTTGCCTCTCCTTTATTGCCTCTCCTACATAAATAGATACAGTACAAGGGAACACAGAGTTTTTATTAAGTGAATGGAACTTGCCAATAATCAAGGATTGTATGGCAGAATGCATACACTTTGCAAACCTAACAATAAAATACAAATGTGCACAATTTTCAATCAAGTCTCCCATGAGTTTAAAGAAAACTCTTATCTGTTCTTTAAATTTACTCTCCGTCTGCCTTGTTAAACTTATAATTATTCTTGTAAATCGTATGAATGTGAATATTACTCCTCAGCCAAGTACCTCTATTTTCCAAAAGTGCAATAATTTTCTATGTTCATGTTCTATGTTACACCTCCTTTGGCGGACATAGGATTACACTCACCCTAATTCATATGATCGAATTAGGGTGATGTGATGAGTACGCGTGATATGTAAAGCATTGAATGTGCTGGAGATGCCCCAACTAATGATGTGCTCTGGTAGCTCTGCTCTTATACTGCACATTTCATGTTAAATCAACCCTGTTGGGGTTGAACTGTTGAAGCTGTTTTTTCCTTCATACCATGTGAAGCTTTTTAACTCAATAACTTGGCATCACTCCTTCATTAAATTCCATTTCTTCCCTTTGTTTCAACTATTCACTGTAGTGCACCTGATCCATTACCTTGGTTGCCAAATTTGAAATATGTCCAAGAGCCATGAACAGGTAAAGGTGTGTATCTGCGTTGGCTCAAGTAACATACATACTCAAGTACATTAAATGCTGTTTTATGTTTTAGCAAAACGCTAACACTGAACGTGTCTGTGTGCGTGTGTGAGAGTTGTTTATATAATGAACTTGGCTTCCAAGCTGCAGTTGTGTGCACTGGAATTAGTGATGTTCAGGCAAACATAGCTGCAAAGCTTTGGACAGACTCTGGAGCAATGCACTTCCCAGTAAGTTGCTATTGTTTGAACTGCCAAAGTGATACTCCTCCTTCACATTCCCTGTTTGTTATGTGATGTCGGAGACACTTCACCTTCCAACCCTTTGCTCTTCGTTTTCTCAGGGTTTTCCAAAGGCTCGTTGCTTTTTCTCCACATCATTGTCCAACCCGACTTACTATTTTGCCTTTCTAAAATCTCACTCACTCTACTGCGATTGCTATCCTGGTTGGAGCTGAGCACAATCCAGCCACTGCTCATTGTCATTTTCACCTGTGTAAGTTTTCAACCTTTGCAACCACATAACCATGAATGGGAATGGACACAAAAACACCATTTAACTAAGTCACTGTTGTTTTACTTTGTTGAATTGTTTTGTGTAATATTATAATCCAAACCGCAGTCTACTCCTGCGTTCTTTTGTAACCAAACAATAAACTAAATATATTTCCACATTTTACAGGTCTGTTTTTATCTTGTATCCCATTGGTACTATACATTTGATTAAGACTGACCAGCAGCCTGACATTGCCACTTCAAAGAAGCATACAGTGTTTCTTCTCAATTAGCATAGTTTATATTGTCCTCCACATCCAAATTAACTAGCCATTCATCTCATTGATGGACGTTGTTGGCACTCTATGGAACTCTCTGCATCAACCACTCTACCTTGCCCACTCTTTGCTTGTCTTCAGATTATCCCTGAAGACTTAGCTCTGAACACCAACTGTCACCTCCCCTCTCTCTCTGCCTCGGCATCAGGCTCTGCCACTGTTAAGCACTCCGAAACTCAACCTTGCATGAAGGGTTGCTGTTGGCACAGATTAGTTGATATGTTTGCCTTTATAACAAAAATCATTTCATTTCTGATCAATTATATTTTGTAAAAAGCTCTGAGATATTAATTTTATAAGAAAGAGGCTGTATGAATATGTTATTGTTGGTTATTGCCGAATGGTGCTTGTTAGGATTTTAGTTCTGTTTTGGGAACTAATTTTAATCATTTTAATATTTTAATTGAGTTATTTTAATCCCTCAATATTCATTGTACGGAATGCCAAGCATATCAGGGCTGCTCATTGACCAAGGACTGTGGGGTTGGGTGGTGAGAATACATGATATTTTCCCCACCCTGTCTCGGGGCCAGGGAAAGCACCCTCCCTGTGTCCAGTGCCTCTCCTTTTGCCTGCAGCTTGGACTCAGTAGCTAATGAATAGAGAATAGCCGATTCTGAAAAAAATTCAAGTGACGTAGCACCTTGACACATTCCAATGTCTCAAGTTAGAGTCTAGAGTTCAATCAAAGTCAAACTGGAGCCATTTTAAAGTTCTAGCTCTCAATACCATAATAGATTTGAAAAAGGAATCAGACACATATTTGCCATAAATATAAAAGGGTTGATAGTATGGCAGAGATGTGGACTAGCCATAATAATAGTAATTCTTACATTTGGCATAGCCTTTTGAATCAGGAGGGCATCGCAAATGCTTCACAGGATATAATGTAAAGTCCAGTGACTGTGTTTTGTGGGTGAATGAGAGCTCTTTCAGAGAACCAACACAGGCACAATGTGTAAAATGGCCTCCTGTGCTGTAAAATTCTATGATTCATTGCTGCACATTATGAATGAGTGTAAGAGTAAACTTGGTCTTACATTCATGAGTACTTTGGTAGACTGTGAAGAATCCTTCACCTTCACCTCTTCCCCCCACCCCCATCACACACACAACCCCACAGATCTCCTGAAAAAGCTACTCGTTCATGTCTTTCATCTTTTGAGAATGCTGTGCTTCATCACCTCGACTATGCAAACGCCCTGCTTGTCGGCCTTCCCAACTTCTTCCCCCACAGGATGCAGATAATCCAGAACTCTGCAGCCCGTGTCCTCTCCTGCACCAAACTCTGTGACCCATCTCCCCCACTCTCGCCCGACTCCATTGGCTCCTTATTTTTCAGAAGATCCAGTTCAAGATCCTGGTCCTCACATACAAAGCCCTCCATGGCCTCGCCCCACCCTACTTCTGCGACCTCCTAAACTCCTACCAACCCGCCCGTTCCCTCCGCTCAGCTGGTTCTGGCCTGTTTCACGTCCCCCGACCCACCCGCCCTACCAATGGTGGGAGAGCCTTCAGCCACTCTGTCCCCAACCTCTGGAATTCCTGTAACCCAGTCACTCCATCTCGTTCCCCCCTCCTTTGCCTCCTTTGTCCCACCTCACGACCCTACTCTTCGACCATGTCATCAGCCAGCCCCCTTCCCCTCCCCTCCCTTCCCCCCACCCGACCCCAGCTCGGGTCTGAAATGCTGTACTCTGTCCAGCACCTTGGGACCTCCTCCCAATGTGAAATGCGCTATACAAATGTAATCTTGTTGTTGTTATGTGCTCTGATGTGTGGACTGAAGGCAGATTGCTCTTCATAAGAAATAGTCAGCTTCTAGAGCAGCGCACAGATCTACAGGCAGGCACAGTCCCAGAACACATATTGCAGGCAACATCTGGCCTGTCACCTGGGTCAGTAAGTGGAAACTTATTCAGTTGCCATGAGAGCCTCAGAACAGGAGGGAGGGAGGGAGAGAAAAGAAAGAAAACTCAATGGAAATGTCAAGAGAAGATTGTTTTAAATTCGGAATGACAGCCACAACCAAGTAATAATGACCTGCCTCTGCCAAAAACTCAAATTGAAATACAATACATCAGCCAAAAAGATTTTTGCTTCTCTAAAAGCAACCAAGTGTGAACCAGCTCATTTGATTTCAGCACGCAATGATTTTCTCCTGAATTAAATAAAACACAACAAACTGAAGGAAATAAAATCATGAAGTATAATGTTATGACCACTCGGATGGATTGCTGTGTATTTTACTGCTTGCCATAAGACCGGAGATGCAGACAGATTACTGGAGACAGCGATTCTTCTTATTCTGTTCTCTTTAACCCTGATGAATGGATTTCTGTGCTGCAAATTTCTATGGCTCTATGCCACCCAAAGATGAATCAGTAAACCTGACAATCAATGGCAAGCATGCAGTCCTATAGCCTAGTGGCAAGTGAGATGACCCAAGCTGAATTCCTTGGGTGAGGCGAAACCTTAGGCAAGTTTCCTTGCTCCACACGCTTCTGTTTACCTAGCAGTAGGTAGGAATCTGGTTATTAGTCAATTGGCGGATCGCTTTCTGGGGGGTAAGAATTCCTCAAAATTGGTCACTCACTTCATGGCTGTTTATGGGTCTGTGCTGCTGCGCTTTGCCCACAAAATACATAGTCAATCCACTTACAATATATTCTGTGAAGCGCTTTGAGACATCTCAATGATGTGATAAAGTGCTATATCAAATGCAAGTATTATTATTATTAATAAACTCCATCTGTTATCCCAACGCAGACACTAGTGGGAGCCCCAAACCTTGTCTCTTGTCTACGTCTAATACTCTCCGTAATTTGCTAAACAGGGGTACATCCCTCCTGGGAAATGGTGCTCACTAAATTCCTGAGAATTTCCATGTGGCGGTTTGTTTTGAATACTCTTGAGCATGATGATGGGATTTGGATGTGTTAGACACCCAATTGCCCAGAAAAAAGAAGTCAATGTTTGCGTCAGCTGCCCAAGCTGACTCGATGCGGATCAGGGATCAAACCTGGGACCTCTCTGGTGTGTATGGATTTTACGTCTGCCGCTCATGAACATGTTAGTATGCTGGTAATGTCGTCCAGATGAACCACGCAGAGATTTACGAAACTTACCTATTTTGCAATTTTGTACCTGTGTTGTTGCAGGTGCTATGCTTCGGATGAGGCAAATTGAGGTCCCATGTGTCTGTTCAAGTTGGTATTAAAGACCTTGTGGCACTATTCGAAAAGAGAAGTAAGATGCTTCTGGTGCTCTGGCCTACAATCCCCTATATAAGTATAGAATCATAGAATCGTACAGCGCAAAAAAAGAGGCCATTCGGCCTATCGAGTCTGTGCCGGCTCTTTGAATAGAGCAATGTTATGTCAATCCCACTCCTCAGCCCTTTCCCCATAACCCTGAAAACCCGTCCTCCTCAATACCCATTTACCGCGTTTTTAAAAATTGTTATCGAATCGACTTTGACCACCCTTTCAGGCAATGCGTTCCAGATTTGAACAACTCACTGCGTGAAAAAATTTCTTCTCGCCTCCCCTCTGCTTCTTTTAGAGACTTTTTTAAATCTGTGACCTTGAGTCACCGACACACCCACCAGTGGAAACAGTTTTTCCCTTTCTAACCTAACAAATCCCCTCATGATTTTGAAGACCTCTATTAAGTCTCCTCGTAACCTTCTCTGCTCCAATGAGAATAATCCCAGCCTCTCTAGCCTTTCCTCATAATCAAGGTCCCTCATTCCTGGTACTATCCTCGTAAATCTCCTCTGCACCCTTTCCAATGCCGTAACCTCCTTCCTATAGTGTGGTGCCCAGAACTGGGCGCAATATTCTAACTGAGGCCTAACCAGTGTTTTATATAGATTAATCATAACCTCCTGACTCTTGTACTCTATTCCCCTATTTATAAAGCCTAGTATCCCATATGCCCTTTTTACAGCTTTATCTACCTGTCCTGCCACCTTCAAGGATTCATTTACCTGCAGCCCCAGGTCTCTCTGTTCTTTTACCCCACTTAAGATTGTATTATCTAGCCTATATTGCCTCCCTTCATTCTTTCTACCAAAATGCATTAGCTCCCTCACATTTCTCCACATTGAAATTCATCTGCCATTTTACCAATCTGTCTATGTCTTCCTGCAGTTGGCTACTATCCTTCTTTTTCTCACTGTTTACCATCCTATCTAACTTTGTGTCGTCCACAAACTTGGAAATGCTACTTGCTATACCCAAGTACTTGTTTACTTCGTAGCTGTTTGTGGAACATTGATGTGCAATGATTGACTAACACATTCGTCTACAAACACACAGTTATACTCCACTTTAAATGAAATGCTTTGAGATATCTCCTTCTACAGGTGATAATAATAATAATCCTTGCATTTGATATAGATCTTTTCCACATCTTCCTGAAGTCTCAAAGTGCTTCACAGAATATACTGTAATGTGAATTGACTGTATATTTTGTGGGTGAAACTCAGGAACCAATTGTGCACTGCAGTGTCTCAAAAGAGTCGATGGAGAAATGACAGGTAAATGGGACTGAAAAAATTGCTCTTTAAAGAACCGACATTAACACGATGGCCACTTTCTGTGCTGTAAATTTATATGGTTCTAGGAGCAAAATACAGTTTGCAAATAGAACTGGATGAATTAATGAACAAGTGAGCTTAAAATATGAGTTATAAAAACAATTTAAGATTTCCCTCGGAAATGATCATAAGTGTAGAAAACGAGGGCTCCACACTCTGTCAGAAGCATTATCAAGGGTTAATGTGAATTTGCCAAACAATAACTACATCGCAAATGACAGGTTTGTTTTGGAATCAT